GGGCTCCCTGGGGACGGGGATCCTTGGGCCCCATGACACTCCACCTGACAACACCTCTTCCTGCTCAGTTGGTGCTTGCCTGAGGGTCCTTGAAGGGGGTGAGCGATCCTCTTGAGACCCTCAAGAGCTGCTCCCAGCTTACACTGGCAAAGGCACCTCTCACCCATTAGCATCATTTGTCCCGGTGCCACAAGCAGGTCTGACAGGCAGCTCCTCGGTGTTATGTATCTCTGACCAGGAAAGCCATGCAGCTGCCTAGGAAGAGAAACTGACAGAGAGAAGCTCCCTACACCCTGCTGTAAGGGACTGTGCAAGACTCTGGGGATTTCCTCTTTGCTGGGCACCCTTGCTACTCTAGATCTCCAGGTCAAAGCAAAAACACATGGCACTGTCCTTTATGCTATGCGAACGCTGCACAATGACCTCAGACCAGACATAGAGATAGGGGTTGCTTCCTGGAACTGCAGAGGAGGTGGCCAGGAGCTCTTTGCTGACCCCCTAGGAAGCTGCATGGATGCACTCCAGGCACATGAGCCCCTGTGCTCCACCAACACCTCTGTCCCTCTGTTGTTTAAATTCACATTTAAGATCCCTTAGGACTATGCACCTCTGTGGGAAGGACTTGCTCAATGGCCTCTAATTCCTAGTCTCTGGGATATGCCTAGCACATAGGAGATCCTCAATAAATAATTGCAGAATACCTGAATAACCTTTAGTTTGTAAATTATAAGAAACTGGACAGTATCTTCTCCTTTCTAATAAGCACTAAGAAACTGCTACTTGATGTAATTAGCAACTTTTCTCATAAGAAGGGTACAGAAATCCCCAACACACAGAAATGATTAACATTTGGGGAAACATAAGGACATAGTGCCCTGATTTGATCATCACATGTTGCACACAGGCACTGAGTTATTATATTATACAATCAAAATGTTCAAATGCTGTGTCTCAATTAAAAAATATCCTTTCTACTCTTATGCATGATATGAAGATGCGGATGTAGCAGGTTTGTGGACAAAGTTTTTTCTACTCAACATTAACTCAAAATAATTCTAAATGGAGGCAGGATTCTTTATGAGCAGTGGAAGTTCCTGGATCTCTGTTGAGGATGGGCTGGGGGAAAATGAGTGTGTTGATTTGGTTCCTTACTTAAGAATGAAAAAACATTAGTGTGCTCAGCAAAAAGGCATCTGTGACCTGGGTGGGGCAGACGAAGAAGGGAGATTCGAATGCACTAACACTCAGGTGTCCACTCTCCGTGGCCTCCCTGGCCATCAACATGCCTGGGGCATTTAAGCAATTGCCACATCTGGGCTCCTCCTTACAGCCAAGGTGGAATTTAGGATTATGCGGTCAGTGGCCATGAATTTTGGGAATATATCTCTCATTTTTGAAAATGCAACCTGAGAATGTATTGAGTTCCAAGTCCATATTAATCACCATTTCCTTGTGCCTTAGATAGAATCTTAATTTTCATACAAGCCTCATAAGAACCCCATGGGATCACTATTACGTTCCCCCATTTCATAGATAAGAAAACAGGGGCTCAGAAAAGCCAGCCTTTTAACAAACCAACTAAAAACTCTCAGGGCCAATGCATTTGAAGTATCAACTGATAATATATGTGTGGCTATCACTCAGCTTTGTCACTCTACCAGTGACACCACAAATGCTGGGGAATTGCTATAATGGGCAAATATGAAAGGTCACAATGTCCATTCCCTTCTCTCTGTAAAAAGCACAGGAAATCGGGAAGGGAAGGGCCTGGTTCAGCTTTGTGAAACCCGTCGTCATGAAACCCTTTCTCACTGACTCACTGTTCTCACCACATCCTTCGCCACACAGCTAAGATCAGATAAGAGTGTCCAACGCTCAGAGAGGTCTGGGTGGCTCTGTCAGAGCCCAGGGCTGTGGCCTCCAGCACGCCATCTGTTCCGCGTACTTTAGGGCTCATTTAGGCTCCTATGTGAAACATGAGACCCCAAGTTTCCCTTTTTATAATGCGAAAAAATTTCACGCTCTTCTTAAAATATTTTAAAACTCTCCTTACAGGTAGATTACCTAAATCCCTTAAAAAGCTGCTAAGAGAATATCTTTTTAAACTCTTATTATAATTATAAAATACAAGCACTGATGTTAAAGATCAGACAATCTACAAAGACTGTATTAGCAACAGAAGAGGTTTCTCCTTACCCCACCTCCATTCTGCTGAGTCTATAAATTTGGGAAAGACTTCTGCAATTTTGCTCTGTAAAGAGTTCTGTCGGATAAGATAATAAAATGTAGGAAACATAATAACAAATGTGAATAACTTTTGCGCTCATTTTTGTCACCAAATATGTATGGATTATAGTTTTCCTAAGGGGAACAACTGCATGGAATCTTTGAGCTGCAAGAGACTTACTTGACCCAACTGGCCTGTGAGTCAAATGTAGCGTAAGGCGCAGAGCTACAAAGGTTCGTTCAAAGCAACATGGTGGATGGCAGGTGTGTGGGGTGGGGGGTTCTGCCCGCCTTACTGACCCCGGGCAGTGAGCCTTGGAATGCAGCATTCTCCATGTCCCCACCTCTCGCTCTGCACGCAGGAGCTGCTCCAGAGCCAGCCACACTGGGGGGCCACCACAAAGCTTGGCTTATTTATCCTATTTCGAGACTTCCAGAGGAATGGAGTGGCTATGTAAGCAAATGTCTTAAAGTTGTAGATACCCTTGAGGAAGGGCATTTTGTCCCATATAATCATATTTACGTGGTTTAATCCCTGGAAATTACAAACTGATTAAATCCAAAACTTCGAGTTTATAATTCCACATGCCCAAGTATGTCATGAGTGATGTTAAAGTCACCTGCCCATGTTATTATACAGCAAATTGTACAACTGTATTTCATACTAAGTTAGACTTGGAAGACATTTTCACCTGTATCTGTTTATTTCCTGCTTTATATCTCAGAAGAAAGATATTAATGCTATCACTAGAAATGAGGAGGGACCAAGCGCTCCTCCAAGGCCACATGGCTCCTTCTTGGCGGCTGAGACTAGACAGAGGTTTCTGAACTCTTCTCAGTGAGGACTTCTGTGGGATTTGATGTGTGTTAGTTGTATGACATTGAGAAAGGTTCAAGTTCTCTTCAGCACGATGTAGGAGATGCGCTCAAAAAGAGGCCGAGAACTGTACATTCCACACTGTCCACAGAAGGCCACCAATGAATGAACATTTACCAGCTTCTTCTCCTTTGCCTGCCATCTACTGTTGATCTAGAGGCCTAAGAGGCAGGCATGTGCTGCGGGATAAAACACAGGACTTGGAGACGAGTCCAAGTTCCTTAGTAACTGTCCTGCAGTCCTGGTACAAAATCACACAGCTCAAGTCCAAATTCCCTTCCTGGGAATGGGCACCAGTCTCCATCCAATGAGCCCTCCAAGTTCTTTTCCATGTACCACCAATACCCAAGCTGCACAAAGTCATATGTCCCATAGCGCATTCTAATATCTGAATACCTCTGCACAAGACGCTCCACTGCCCTGGACCAGCCCTTCCCTCTGAGCCTGGAAGACTCAGCACAGGCTCTGACTCCAGGTGAAGATGCCCTGGCTCAAGACAGAGTTAGGGTTTGTTGTGTTTTCTTTCAGATGCATTCATGCTTGCAAAGAAGTTTGGAAATAGCCATTACAGAGTGATGAAATAAAACATTCTCTTTAATTTTAGGAGCACCTTGAGTGCAGAGATTTGGACTCACTGAGTACAGTATTTCTACAAAGTTTTAAATAAATGGTAGATGGATGAGTGGATGGCTAAACGGGTGGAGGGATTTACTAGAAATGTGTGAGGCTCAGTGACGTACAATGTGTTGACATGTTAGGAAACTAAATTTCTACACTGGGCTCTCATACCAGCAGGATGATCTTGAACATATGATTTAACTTTCCTGGGCCTCATTCTCTAATTGTGAAATTCGCTCTCTACTCTGATACACACAGCTGGGAGCCCCAGTAGGCTGATGAATATAAACTATATCAATAGCTCCTCACCCCAGGCTTCTCATTGAGTTTGGCCAATGGAAGACAGAAGTAGGAAATCAAGGCCCAGAGGAGCGTGCAGTGGGGACTTTCGTTCCTCCCATTACAGCTCTCTTCCTGCAGCCACCTCAGCTGATACCACCCGGCTCTTGCACCCAGCCCTGTCTCTGGAGCCTTGTCTCTGGGCCCGCTCAGTCACCACCTCTGGCTCCTCAGGTATCCCTTTCCTTCCACCCTAGGCATCTTGCTGTCTTTGTGAATCCCCCCACCTTGCCCATCTCTTTCAAAAGTTCACTTTATCAAACTCTTCTCCAATGGCAGTCATGTGAGGGAGTCACTGGTTTGGTGCTGGACCCTCCAATTGACAGAGGGGGAAACATCTTTGATTGCTCCCTGGGTCTCTGTGTAGACTGAATGTGATTGTTGTTGTACAGCCCTTCCTGAACACTCCCAGGGTCTCTGCTGCCAACTTGGGAGGTAAATAGGACCAACGAGCTCTCCTGTGCGTGTGAGTCAGGGCTCAGGTGGAGTGCTGTAGCCCATGTGAAGTGGAATGCAAATGTCACTTTCATAGAAAAGTCAAGCATGAGAATGAAAAGCATCCCTTCTCCTGCATGCTCAGGCAAGCCGGTGGACACGCCAGAGCAGAGCAGGCAGAGCCTGAGCTAATGTGCCCTCGCTGCCCAGGGGAACAGGCAGTTGCACGCCAGGGAAAACAGGCTTGGTGTACGTGTGCTCAGCTCCCCAGGGCAGATGGGATGAATGCTGACAGAAAGAGGACAGCATGTGAGAGAAAAAAAAAATATCCCTTCCTCCCCTGCTCCCAAAATAAACCAATTATTGACCTGGATTGATTCTCTCTCCCTCAGGTCCTCTGAAGCCAACACCTGCATCTAATTTCAAGAAGCAACAGTATTGTGTTCAACACGATTAAAACATGACGTGTAAAATGGTGCAATAAAGTTTGCTTTTGTTTCCACAGGCTGAGTTGAAGATCCCTCTTATTCTCCGGGTACCGAGAACTATGAACAAACCGTAAGTAGGGGCCATCGCTGTGTGTCCCAACTCCCGTGGCCAAGCACGGACTGCAGCCAGTGCCTGAAGGATGTGCCAGGGAATGGCACCACTGTTCCCGAGGGGACAGGGATTTCCCAAGAGGCCTGGTTGAGGATGTGGGCTTGTGTGTTCAGACAACTCCTGTTCCAGTAGAGGCATTTTTGTGGGTGGGTCACTGTTCTGGCCCTGTGTATGTGTGACTGGAGCAGAGATGAAATACTCCAACAGTATTTGAAATACTCCCAGAAATGCCCAGTCACTTCTCCTCCAGGTGTGTGAAGGTGCAGGTGAAAGACTGTCAGTCAGCTCTCTCTTGGTGGGTACTGAGAGTGAGTGATGTGATTTGCTTTGAACACCCAAATGTGTATCTGATGCAGGAAAATACCCTCCATGCTCCATGGCTATGAACCTAATAAAACGCAAGCAGCTCTCAGAGGTTTAAGAACTTTTTGGAATGAAAAAACTATACTGTAAAATGCATCTGTTTACATGTTTGTTTGCTATCTTTACTTCACCATTTGGTTAAGTAGCCCAAGAAGCAGAGTTACTGTATTGGAATGAAGGTGACTTTGGTAGTGCGGGAGAACCCATTCCACTCCTGCCCCCCTGAAGCACAGTGTACTAGAAGCTAATCGTGTAGGGATTTCATATGTTATTCTGCTCCATGGAGAGCACCATCCTGTCTGGGGAGGAAGGATGTCTGGTTGCTAGGTGACCCTAGGTCTTAAAGGGATCCTGGGATACAGTAGGATGATAGACAACAGCTGCATCTCACACTGGGCTTTGGGTACAGCACTGGAGTCCAGAGTGACACAGGGTGAGTAGCACTTGTCACAGCAGCCCCAGCATCATGACTGCCCCAGATGTCCACAGCTGTCAAAGCTGCATAGTGTGAGGTTTGTGGGGTGAGAAGCTGGAGCTCCGGCTGTGGAGGGAGGCTTCCAGGGTATAGGCCATGGGTGGCCTCCTCACCTGACCCAAAATCAAGCTCAGCAAGCACCATCTCTTTGCCTAGGGCGTGGCCCCTTTCCCCCTTGGCCTATAGGGCTAGATAGCAGGTATCTCTAGCTCCTCTGCTCCTCAGATTCCTCCTCCAGTGACTGCACAGGCTGACACAAGATGTCCTGATGAAATTCAGGCCTGACGCCAAATTGAAGACTTCCTTGAGTCTACTTCCATGGGAAATGGGGGGAATGTGAGGAAGAGAGGCAGGACTGGTGACCAGCAGGGTTAAGTGTAGCAAGCAGGAACATCACTGCAATAATTACAAGCATGGGATATACAGGAAGGTAAATGCATCATCATCACAGAAGTGCTGTGACAAATTACAACAACTGAGGTGGCCCTCCCAGTTCCAGAGGCAAGTAGTTCAAAAGTGAGATCAGTTGCCAGGACCCTGTTCTCTCTGAAGGCTCTGGCAGAGAATCCTCCCTGAGTGCTCAGCTCCTATGGGCGCTGGACATTCCTTGGCTCCAGGCTGCATCACTGCAGTCTTTGCCACCACGTTCACATGCCTTCTCCTCTATGCCCTCTGTTCCTCTAGGCTTAAGGCTCGCTTGTGTCTTACAGTCACTTGCCATTTAATTAAAGGTTCATCTGGGTCATTCTGGATAATCTAAATGATCCCATCTCAAGGACCTTAATTGGATCTGAAAAGACTGTTCTTCAAACAAAATTCCATTCACAAATACCAGATATAACTTAATGTGGATGTGTGTCACAGCCACTGCTGAATCAGTCTATGACATCGGACTTTATTCTCAGGTTTGCATTCCTCCTTGGGGTCTAGGTGAGATAGCTGACAATTATTGCAATATTTGCTTTGAGCCTCCATCTGGCTTTGTACCAGAGACTTCCTGACTCTTGATCTGTCTTTTTACGTCTTTTATTGATTTGACCCTTTGCTACTGACCTCCTTAGAGAGAGGTGAGGTCTCCCCTCCTGACTCACATTTTAAGTCATTTTTTTTTGTTTTTAGCCAGACAATTGTCCTTTTGGTAATGGCTTCTTATCAAGTTTCCAAAGGGTAATTTAGTGGTTTTAGCTTTAGAGTGACATCAGATACGAAGCTGAAAACACATAGAATGGAGAACAGGCCAGATGTCTGTCACTTCATACACATTAGCTCCCCCTCCGGATCAGCTGTCATCGACCTGTCTAATATCTCAGAACAAAGAAGCTGCCTTGCTAAATAGCAACTCTGCCCTAGATCTCAGAGCCTCCTTTTCCTCCCCCGATCTCCATCAGAGCTAAACTTGTCTTTACTGGCTCCTCTTACGCAGCCTCAGATCTCCAGTTCACCTGGGATTGCTGCTGACCCATTCCGAAATCAAAAGAGAACATCAAAATCACAACAGCCTCCAACACATGGGCACGCGCGCGCGCACACACACACACACACACACACACACACACACACACACGCTGATACCATAGAAATTAAAAGTAAGCCATGCTCACATATTCACACACTATTCTCACCCACCATGGTTTCCTGTCCAGAGTTTCCTGATCTGTGGGATTTTGTCACTTTAAGATTACACAGTACATACAGATAAGGAAAGCTACTACAAAGAGAATGAGAGACATTATGGCAGTCATTACTGATTTCCTCAGTGTCAGGTCTTGAAGACCTAAAAAGCCTTCATCATCCTGTTATGATTAGATTAGTTCTATAATGTTCAGTATGTATCCAATGTGTGTAAAGATGGAGACAACTAGAGACAATAAGATAGACAGTGAAGATCTCCAGTGGACTTGCTTTGAAATCCATGTTTCTTAAAATTGTTTCCTTATGATCTGCTTTGTTATGTTTAATCTTACCCTCTTTAAAGTAAAAAAAGACTCATGCATGCATAGAACCTATAAACAGTTTATGAGAACTGATCTTATAATGCATGATGAAATAAACAAATACTTTGAAGAAAAAGAGACACTAATACTCAGTGCTGATCCTGTAGTGTCATGATGTGAAATCCAGCAATACTATTATTCTTTGTTCAGAGTGATTTTAGCCTGCTATGATTTGTTTAATCTCAACATAAATGAAGATGTGGATAACTGCATATATATTTAAATGTATAGGATTGGTAACCATATTACTAAGTTTTTGTTGGATAGTTGAACAGAACCCTTTGCAGTCTCGCTGTTTGAATTCCCACTTTGTATGTTTCACTTTTGTATCTTGAACAACTGTTTGTAAGAGGACAATATGTAATCATCAACTAGTAATTTCTTACTGTTTATTTTTTTCTTTGAAAGCATGAATTATTTCTACCCATTTTCCGTTTTGTTTAGTCTTTAAATAAAATTTTTAAGAAATTACACAGTATCTCAGCAACAGCGCCACCCAGAGGCTTGTTAGAAATGCGGAATCCTTGGAACCCAGAACCCACCCCAGAGGCTGAATCCGAGAGGGTACTTTATAAACACCAATGCTGACTCCAGGGTCTAGTAAAGTTCGAAGAGTGCTGGACTACAACCCTGGGTTCTGGCGTCATTTCCTTCACTTCTGGGCACACTGAAGAAGTGTCTACAGTAATCACTAAGAGGACCGCAGAGAAGGCAGCCTTCTCTTCAGTCATCATGTGAGGGCAGTTTGGAAGTACAGGACCTGCCTTCTGGCACACAGTTTTCTGTTCTCTGGCATCTTGGGAAGGGCATCCCCTTCTACAGGGATGATTATTAATCAAGTTAATTCAAGGCAGTGAATTCTGAACCTGGTGTGACATTCAAATCCTCATGAAAATTCTGTGTCTTAATCACTTTTTCATTGCTGGAACAACGCATCTGACACCCACAAATTAAAGGAGGAAAGATATGCTTTAACTCATAGTTTGTAGAAATTGCAGTCCACGTCAGCCGGCTCCGAGGCATGGTGACATGGCAGAGGAGTGTGGTAGAAGAGAAACAGTCCATGGCAGGGCAGACAGAATGCAGCAAGCAGTAACCCTACCCCCTTTCCTGTCCCTCTATACCCCATTGAGGCAGCAGTCCTATCTTTCGGTGCCTCTCACAACCAAGGCAGGCCTTCCTATTATTCACATCCAGAAATGTGCTAAACCAATTTTGTTATTACACAACTTCAATCCCAGTATCACACATCCTAGATTCAACCACCTCCAAAAGGCCTCACCTATGAGGGCATGAGGCTTTGGGGGATAAAAGCCATAACCTTTTACAAATACCAGACCCAGTGTCCTTCCCAAGCCAAAGAAATCAGAATACCTAGACATTGGCCTTTTTATGTTGTTTAATGCTCAGGGGAGTCTAATCTGCAGCCAGGGTTAAAGAATGATATCTTGTAGTTCTGTAACCTAGAATGTCTCATAATTCTACAGTGAATGCAAAACAATCTTTATAAGTATGATTCATTCCATCCTATCAGTCTTAGTCTCCTTGGGCTGCTATAACAACATGCTTGACTCACATGCAGACATTTATTTCTCATAGTTCTGGAGCCTATAAAGTCTAAGTACAGGGTACTGGAAGACTCCCATGAGGGTCCACTTCCTGGCTCACGGCTTCTTGCTGTGTCCTTATAGGTAGAAAGGGTATCAGAGCTCCCCAGAGTGTCTTTAATCAGAGAACAGATACTATTTATAAATTCTCCACCCTCATGACATAATCACCTCTCAAAGGCCTCATCTTCTAATTCCATCAACTGGAGTGATTAAGGATTAACATGGAGTCTTTGGAGGGACCCCAAACAGTTAAACCATGCAATCTCTCATCTTAGGCACTTTTAAGGGCAGTGGATGAACATAAATAAATGGATAATAAAAAATAGATATTATATACACGTGTGTGTGCAGTGTCCATATGTGCATACATACCTTCATATTCACACAATTTACATTACATACTTATATACACGACAGAAGTAGCTCCACACATATTTGTGCAAAATTGCACCAGTTCTGTGAAAAGTATTTGTTCACCAAGCATGCATTACACTAGGCACTAAGCAAAGTGCATCA